CAATGGATGAATGGGGGTGGGTAGACAGATGGATGGTTAGGTGGGCCAGTAGATAAATGGGTGGGTGGATGGGTGAGTGAATGAATGGGTAGATGGGTGGGTGGGTAGGTGGGTGGCTGGCTGGCTGGGTCAGTGGATGGATGGATGGATGTGTGGATGGATGAATGGGTAAATAGATGAGTGGATGAATGGACGGATTGATAGATGAATGAGTGGGTGGGTAGGTAGATGGAGGTATGGGTGCAGGTTAGCTGGCTTTGGACTCCAAAGCACTGGACCGGGGAATGGAGAGCCAGATTCCCAGGACTGGGTGAGCCCCACCTTCTCAAGCTCACATTTATTGCTTTCCCAGCTTGCAGAAGAAAACAGCATTTCCTCATCATCTTCACATACAGTACCACAAACACTTCTCACTAAAGTGTTGACCCTGCCCACCCCCCTGCCCTTGCCAGAGAGTCAAGGACTTTGCTGCCTGATCTCTTGTAGACAACAGGTGGTTACCTGCAGAGACTACAGGCCAATAGGCCTCAGGCAGAACAGACTGCACTGGGCACCCTTGAGACGTGAGACACAGCCCTGCCCTGAAGGCTTCCCTGGGCCCCGATCCCCAGGCCCAGCCCTGCCTGGCTGCTGCAGGACGCCAGCTGACCTGGGTCCCATCTCTCACAGGCTCTCCAGTAACAGCATTGGCGATGGAGGCACCAAGGCCCTGGCCGAGGCCCTGAAGGTGAACCAGGGCCTGGAGAACCTGGAGTGAGTCTGCCTGACCGCCCTGCGGGGGCGGTGATTCACCCTGGGTTCTCCATGCAGCACATTCTGGGCTGGCAGTCCCGGAAAGAGGCTGCTTCCCTGCCAAAACCCCCACACCTACCTGGGCACATTCCTATCTCAGTCTCTCCTGCCCCACGCCCACCCATCAGCTCCGTTTCCCTGGACAGCAGGAGCTGGGGTTGGCTCTGGAGTTTTCAGAAAGATAAGCTCCAAATGCCCTTTGGAAGGTGGCACAGGTGGCTCAAGAGGGAGTTGGTGGCGGTGGCCTTGGTGGGGAGTAGGGGAGCTTGGTGTTGCTGCCACACTGGGGATGTTGCTGCGCCCCTCTCTCTGGGGGCTGCAGACTCAATGCCCCATGCTGAGGCCATTTGGAGCCACCCACATCAAGGCAGAGTTTGAACTTTAGAGCTCATGCTAAACCCACCTGCCCTGACCTGGCAGGGGCTAAAATGTGGGGGGATGGGAGAGTAAAGGGGGTGAGAGCAGTGTGGGTTGGCAACTCCCTGGGGTTCCCCCAACTCCCTGTTGAGCCCAGTGCCTGGATCGGGTGGCTCCCTCTGGGTCCTGGGACAGCCCCACCAAGGGTGCCCTGTCCTCTGTCTGCAGCCTGCAGAGTAATTCCATCAGTGACGCGGGAGTGGCAGCACTGATGGGGGCCCTGTGCACCAACCGGACCCTCCTCAGCCTCAAGTAAGTCCTGGCCTCCCTCTCCAACCAGGGTGTCCCTTTGACCAGGGGTCTAAAGGGACCTTGGTGCTGGGAAGCCTGTTAGGAGGAAATCTATGGCCAGGCAGGCTTCCTGGCACCCTATCCCTCTTCCTGCTCTTTTGGGGGGCAGGGGACAGCTGCAGCCCTCAGTGGGCCCGTTCTGCTGCTCTCTTCCTTGACACAAGCCCCTCAGGTGCCCCTGCATGCTTGCCAGCCTCTCTGAGGTCCTGTCTTCCTGTGCTCGTCCTCCTGGACTTCCCTGCACAGTTGATGGTCCCAAAGAGGGGACGCTTGGCTGGCCAGCCATCGAACCTGGCAGCTAGAACAGGCCCCTCACGCCTCAGCCCAGACTGCTCAGGCCCAGGGCCCACCTGAGGTTTCTTGGGCTTCAAGCAGCCCAAACACCTGGGCTTGTCTCGGCCAGAGGCCACCTCTGCCGGGTCAGCAGCTCAGGGTCTTCTCTCTTTCCTTAGCCTGCGAGAGAACTCCATTAGCCCCGAGGGAGCCCGGGCACTCGCCCACGCGCTCTGCACCAACAGCACCCTGGAGAACCTGGAGTACGTGGAGGTGGCGAGGGTGACTCCAAGGCTAGTTACGTCCGGGCCACACCAGGCAGAGCCCTCAGCACTGCCGCCATTCCACAGGGCTGGAGAAGGGCCTGGCTGGGGGAAGGTCAGCTAGGAGACCCGGCGTCGGGGGGCAACTCTGACGCAAGCCCCCACTCTCATTGTATAAATCACACGAGGATGAGCTGGTGCAACACACTGCCTCACCTCGTGGCGTGGACAAGCATGGGGGAGGGGCTCTGACGAGTGGATGTGGGGCCATGGGCGGTGTGTCCTGCAGGCAGTTCCACCATATCCTGGCTGTGCTCCCTGTCATCAGACCCACTGGGCTGAGCCTGGGACACCCCCACGGGGCTGTTGCCAGGATTCAGTACAGCAGTCCAGGTCACGTGCCTGGCAAATAAAAGTTCCCACAAATGTGAGCTCGAAAACTCTGACACTGGTGCAGGCACGACGCAGTACTTGGGGAGCAGGGGAGTGGTCTGGATTCCCTGGCTTCGTGGTCGGGCCCCACTCACTTGTTCCTGTTCCTTCTTCCCAGCCTGACGGCCAACCTCCTGCACGACCAGGGCGCCCAGGCCATCGCGGTGGCAGTGGGAGAAAACCGTGCCCTCACGTCCCTTCAGTGAGTCCATGTTCCCCCTGCCCCACCCCGTCCCCTTCTGCAGAGCTGCACGGCAACACCCAAACCGATTAGGTACAGATCAGTGTGGCCGTGGGGCACTCCCCAAAGGCCTCAGGGGCCTGCCCAGGCCCGCCCGCCTCCAGCAGTCCTGAGGCTCCACAGACAGACAAGCGTTAGGAGGTGGACGCCCACGGCCGTGCCTCAGGGCATCCTCTGCTTCAGGACGGGCCATCTGAAGAGTCCTTACTTGAGCCTGTCCCTGTGGCTACCACCAACCAGAGCATGCACGTGGCCCCTCTGGGGACCAAGCCTGAGGAGGTGGCAGAAATTCTGTCACTGCCTGGGCCACCCAGTCACGTGCATCTGTTTCTGCCCAGCCTGCAGTGGAACTTCATCCAGGCCGGCGCTGCCAAGGCCCTGGGACAAGCACTACAGCTCAACAGGAGCCTGACCAGCTTGGAGTGAGTACGGTGTCCCCAGGGGCTGTGCGGAGCGGGGATCTGGAAACCTGGTGCTGCCAGGCACAGGGCCCAGACAAGTGGCCTTTGGCACACAGCCACCTTTTTCCTAAGGCCAGTGGGCACATTTCAGTCCTCACATGCTTTTTAAAATATGTATATATTTTGTGTATATATATTTATATATATGTGTGTATATATATATTTATAAATAGCTTTATTGGGATATAAATCCACCCAGTTAAAGTATAAAATTCACTGGTTTTTAGTATATTCATTTACGCAACCATCACCACAATCAGTTTTAGAACATTTCCATCACCCCAAAAGAAACCCCGTACCCATTAGCACTCACTGTCCATTCTCCCCTCCCCCACCCTCACAACCACTAATCATCTGTCTCTGTGGGTTTTCCTATTCTGGACATTTCATATAAATGGCATCATATGTGTTCTTTTGTGACTGACGTCTTTCACTTAGAATGTTTTCAAGGTTCGTCCAGGTCGTACCCTGTTTCAGTACTTTTTTATACGGCTGACACATTGCCACTGTGTGGAGACACATTTTACTTATCCATTCATCAGTCAATGGATACTTTTCGGCTGCCAGGACTAATGCTGCTACGAACGTTAGTGTCTGTGTGTACATGAGCTTTCATTTCTCTTGGGTAGATACACCTGGGAGTGGAATTGCCGGGTCACGTGGTCATGCCCGGTTTCGTCTTTTGAGCCTCACCTGCTTTTCACCTGACCACGGTTTCTTCTCCTTCGGCTTGCAGGACATCCCCTCCCTGGCTGGCCCTCCTCACTCTGCTTCTCTGTCTGACTCCTCAGTGCTGGGGTTCCACAGGGTTCTGTCCTATGCCATCTTCCCTGGGATGACATCTCTCTTCTGGGAGCTCTCCTCTTCTCCCAGGGCTCCAATGACCTCCCCCGAGCTGCAGACCCCTGCATCCGAGCCCCTGCACACCTCCCCTCGGGAGTCTCACAGGTACTGCAGTCGCCGGCATTCTCTCCCCGACAGGCCTGCTTCTTGGTTCCCCATCTCACAAATGGAACCAACTGTGCAAGCTGGACACATCGCCTCTGCTCTCACCTCCCAGTACCCATTCATCTCCAAGTCCCGGCCCTTCCCCTCCCACCCACCTACTTCCTTCCACCCCCACTGCCACCACCCAGGCCATAGGCACCACTCACTTGCATCCTGTGGCAGCCTCCACGCCAGTCCGTCCTCTCTCACGCTGCCGGCCAGAGACCTTTCCAGAACGTGAATGTCCCTGTCCTGGGTGCCCAGCGCCTGCAGAGTGAAGCACAGCCCGAGTCTGGCTTACGAGGCCGCTTCAGAACTGCTTCCTTTGCACCTCCTGAGCCTCGTATCTCACTACTCCAGGAGCACGGCTCCATCTGTCTGGGTTCCTTAGATGTACCAGGCCCTCTCCCCCGTCATCCTCTGGGCTTTGGTTCAGACCTGTTTCTGGGCAGCCTTCTGTAACCACACCGGGGTCGGAGACCACACTGATGATCTTCCCTGCAGCCTGCACCTGACCTGTTGTAACTGCTCATTTAATCACGTCTCCCCACTGAGTGGGCAACGGTGCCTGCTGCCTGCACAGCACCCAGCACACACAGTCTCAGATGTTTGCTAAAATCACGAATGGAAACCGCTCCCTTAAACATGCCAAAGTCCACACGAACTAGACTCAATCGATTATTTACTGCTCCAGGCCAGCTATTTTCCTCCAATTTGGGAAAGGGGGGAAGATATAAAACCCTGAGTAGTACAAATAACCCAGGAATCGAGGGCTTTAATTTTCTGGTTGGCTTTGAAAAGCATACCCTGTTTTTCTCCCAAGTCCCTGTTTTCCCTATTTTCCATGTGTCCCTTTTCTGCTTGCCTCTGACGGTTCAGACTCATGCAGCCCCCAAACCCTCTGTGTGTCAGTTGTGAGGCCATGGGCTGTAACGGCCGTACAGGAGGGGTAGTTATCCCGGGGAGACCCTGGGAGCGTATGTCTGTGGTGTGTGTAGTCAAATCTGGAAGGTCCAAGCCCAGCAGGTCCTTGCTAGGATGCTCCTGGCACCCCGTGTGCCTGGAAAGGTCATGCTCTGTGTCCAGTTTACAGGAGAATGTCATCGGGGACGAGGGAGCATCTGCAGTGGCCAGCGCGCTGAAGGCAAACACGGCCCTCACTGCTCTCTAGTAAGTGCTTGTGCACGGCGGCCTAGGAAGCCAGCCCCTTCACCATCCTTTCATGCTAAACATGGTTTTGTTTGCAAGTCAAGGAAGGTGTGTTTGACTTCCCTAATATTATAGGAAATATTAATATTAGCAATTGGGAAATCAAACACCTACATAGTAATAATTAGGGGTACAGTGAGCATTCTCCCCCAACCTTCCCAGGAGACCTCTGTTTCCTGTGTCCTTAGCATCCAGATCTGTCTTAGGCGTCAGCGTAGGCAGGAGCTGCAGCGTTTGGACAGGTCGCTGGCCAACCACGCCCAGTGCTATTTCTCCACTTCCAGCCCTACGTCGAGGAGTGCCGACAGTGAGGGGAGAGTCTGGAGGGTGCGGGGCTCAGGGCGGGCGCAGGGGTTGGGGGGCCGCCCAGCTGACCGCACCGCCCCTCAGTCTGCAGGTGGCTTCCATCGGCGCCCCCGGGGCCCAGGCGCTGGGGGAGGCCCTGGCTGTGAACAGAACCTTGGAGATTCTCGAGTGGGTATTCCATTCTGCCGCTACATCTTTTGACCAAGGAAACCAAGCTGTTGATTTGAAATGGATCCAGGAAAAAACCAGTTTACGTGGCAACTCAAATCATTTTAATGATCTCATTCCGATCAAGCAGGCCCAGCCTCCGTGTTCCCATCTCACACCCTTTCCCAGAGTCACCGTCGTTTGCCGTCCTCTCAAGTTCCTGCTCTCCCACTTGGCCTTGCCCAGGCTGATCCTGTCTGGAGGCCCTGGGGGGGGCCCCTGGCCACCGATCTTGTTCTCTGAGACCAACTCCTAGGGTGGGGGCTCGGTGTGTCCTTGTCATCCCTGCTCTTGCTGAGGGCCCTGGGACCTGTGCCTGGGGTTCTGCCTCTCCTGCCTCGGCCCAGGTTTCCGTCTGGAATGGGAGGACGAGGGCCCCAACAAGACACTGAGGCTGGGCCAGCCTCCCCCTTCCCGTGTGCCCTGCTCCCTGGAGCCCAGCTTTGTTCTGTCCCGGGGGAGTGAGGAAGCAGCAACCCTAACCCCTGTGACTGTGAAGTCTGTTTCCACCACCAAGTAGCCCCACACCCACCTGAAGAGGTGTCGTTATCACCTCTCGGCCTGTTGCCTTTCCTTAGGTTTCCTGTTTTTCCTGACAGCTTGAGAGGAAACTCCATTGGGGTGGCTGGAGCCAAAGCCCTGGCGAGTGCTCTGAAGGTCAATTCAAGTCTCCGAAGACTCAAGTAAGTGGTTGTAGAGACCAGCCGGCGTCCCAGGGCAGCAAACTTCTCTGCTGGGTCTTCCTCCGGAGGATAAAATGCTCATCTCCTCTGTAGCTACTTCCTTCTGAATGTATAATAAATCATTCCCACTATTCTGATCAGTATAATCCACATCCCATTGCAGTTAGGTCTGTTTATTCTGCTTAAGTCAGAAGTCAGTCACTTAACATCTGCATTTCGGTCTTACATCCTCCATGGCATTTGGGTGGGACAACCTGGCTACCTATAGACGCCAGTCTCAAGGGTCAACTGCCACCTAGCGGTTGCCATGATGCCTATGGACAAACCAGCCCCAGAACTGCTGGTCCCCTTTGCTGCCCCCACAAGACAACGCAGTGTTGCTTTCTCGGGTGTCTCCATCTTCTCTGCCTAGTCTTCAAGAGAATTCTCTGGGCATGGACGGGGCAATATGCATCGCCACTGCACTGTCTGGAAACCACCAGCTCCAGCACATCAAGTGAGTGGGGCTTGGCAGCTTCTGCCCCTCCCGCTCACCCTCAGAACTGCTCTCAGGTCAGGCCCTGCCTTTGCCCAATTCCAGGAGCCAGCTGACCCCTAGGCCCCTCAGCAGCTCTTCAGGGAAACTCGGTCTAAGAGGGAGCCACCCTGAGCCTTGTCCGTGGAGGGGTCCTGGAAGCAGAGTCCTGCCCTTTCGACAGTGCTGGTCCGCTCTGCGAGGGAGAACCTGCAGGCTCCGAGCCTTGCCCTAACCCTTCTCTTCCAGTCTCCAGGGAAACCACATCGGGGAATCTGGTGCCAGAATGATCTCGGAGGCTATCAAGACAAATGCTCCCACGTGCACTGTTGAAATGTGAGCAAAACGAGTTCCTCGTGGACCAAGCAGGAGGACACTCAGCTGGAAGCTTTCAAACCAAAAGACCCATCGCTGCCAGGCCTTCCTGAGATTTGGGAGTGACGCTGACCCAGCACAAGAGCTGTTCTCCTGCACAGAGGAAGGAAAGGTGCTACCCAAGGAGGCCGTGAGCACCTCCACTGGTCCAAGACCAGTCCAGCAGGGGAAGGTGCACACTCTGCTACAGCACAGAGAAGGGAAAAGGCTGGCACTCAGGGACACAGGCCTGAGCAGTGTAGGAAGCTGGTTCTAGCTTATTTATACCCTAAGGTCTTCATATGCCCGCAACTTTAAAAAATTTTTATTACCATCCTTTTCCACTCACCTGGTTCAAATCATCCCACTCTGAAACGAGTTGCCATCCACAAGTCCATTATCAGTTTTTTTTTTATTTTTTTTAGAGACAGAGTCTCACTTCAACTCTGTCGCCCAGGCTAGAGTGCCGTGGCGTCAGCCTAGCTCACTGCAACCTCAAACTCCTGGGCTCAAGCGATCCTCCTGCCTCAGCCTCCTGAGTATCTGGGACTACAGGCGTGAGGCACCACGCCCAGTCCCAAAGTCAGTTAACCAGAAGGAGGAGGATGATTTAGAAGCAGGTGGAACAATTAAACACCCTGTGCAGCTGCTGCCTATATTTGTGGATGTGTTATTTGTAGCTTGGGTTGGGCTTCTGGGTTAAAACCCAGTAGAAGAAAGCATATGCCAAAGAGAAATATATTTGTATGTTTTTTCAAGATATAAGTCAAGTCAGACTGAGGTAAACCAAATCTATAACATCCAGGAAGACGCAGCGACTCTTCTGCGTCTCTGAAGCCATGCGTCTAGGGTGGTCAGCAGGGCTCCCAACACACTGATCTCTCTCAGCTTTTTGTTTACAGTATGGCACGCCTCAAATTACCAGTAAATTAACTGAAGGCTGAGTGTTTTTTTAAAAAAGGGTAATCTCATACATAAAATTTAGGAAAAGAGAGAAAAAAGCCAAGATGACATGTATCATAACTTGTGAACTTTTCTTGAATAAGTATTTATGTGCAAATAAAATAATTATGCTGTTATAATTGTTTTCAAGTAAAACTTATTTAATATAAAAATATCGTACTAAATGCATTTATTACAAGATAAGTTACTTCAGGAGTTTTCTGACTTTATAATTGTAAAATAAATGAAAACGGCTGCATGCTTTTAACATTAAGAAAACCAACTCCACCTGTCACTTCTCATTTCACAGCAGGGAAATCCTAGCGCTATGCTACATAATTCAATTCTGGTTTATTTTTTTTTTTTGAGACAGAGTCTTGCTTTGTTGCCCTGGCTAGAGTGAGTGCCGTGGCGTCTAGCTCACAGCAACTTCAAACTCCTAGGCTCAAGCGATCCTTCTGCCTCAGCCTCCCGA